TTATAGCTCTCCTTCCTTGCGGCAATGCAATTTGCACTGCCCAGCTTTCTCTCTCTGTCTCTCTGACTCTTCTGGCTGGCTACCCCAAACAAACAAAACCCATAACTTTTTCACATTCCATCCATCCATATCACATTATTTAACTATTATCCCTATCCTCTCGTCCTAATCATCAATCTGCTCTGCTCCCCCGCTACAAACGGGGGTCTCTCTCTCTCTCTCTCTCTCTCTCTCTGGCTGAGTTGCTCCCTCCTTATTAACTAATAATATTCATATATACATATAATATGCATGTATGAATACGACTGACAGTGAAAGAAACACAAAAAAAGTTTGGTTGGTAATTTGATTAGTGCATGAAGTTAGAGAAAGCTAGGCAGAGGCAGAGGGGATGGAATCCTAAAGTAGTCTAATTAATTAATCAGTATATGAGCATTGTATTGTATATATTCATACATACAGATACAGAGAAAGAGAGACAAGTTATAATATTATATCATCATATATATATATATGGCATGCAGCTAGCAGAGATATATATATTATTTTTTTGTATGGGGAGAGAGGTTTGCAGCCTGCACCCCTATGTGAGGACATTAACCCTTGTCTTCCGGGTCTTTGATGAGTTTAATTTTAACTTCATTCTCTCTAAATAACTTGGTCATTTTCGAAAGGGACAGATCAATTGCAATTTGCAAGAAGATGGAGCTCCTTCCTTCCTATATATATATATATATATATATTTAAAAGCTTTCAAATCCAATTGTCTCATATATATATATGTATATATATACGTAACACGCCTCTTTCAGTTTAAGCACTTTTTGTCAACTGCCTCTATGCCTTAGCTCTTTATAATTTCTGAATTTGTTTCCATCTGTACGTATATATCTCCAATCGTACAAACAAACAAACGTGTATATCATACTTATTTACTTACAGGTATAGTTTTGGTACTTGTCTTTTTCAGTCTGTAAAACTTGCAAGTTGCACTGCGTATATATTCAGAATTAGTGCACTGCTAACCTAGCTACCTTACCTGTTTGTATATCTTGTTAGATACATAGGATATATCATTTGATATGTTTGCATAACGTTAGTAGATAGTAGACGTCTGCTTATATATTATATAGTATTATAGAAACATACATATACCTTCATACCTATATGTTATTTGAAAATTTGTGATATATCTCTTAATATGGTAATATTGGGTACACAGAGAGAGAGAGAGAGAGAGAGAGAGAGAGAAGGTAAGAAAAAATTAATAAAAAAAAGGGTGGGGGTGGGTGCAGATATGAGAGAGAGATAGAGAGAGAGAGAGAGAGAGAGAGAGAGAGATTCATCTCGAAGGCTTCAAAAAACAGCTCCCTGTAAGTTTGACCGTCAAGAAAGGAAGGAAGGAAGGAATCAAAGAAGGTAAAACACATGGCCTTAACTATTTGTTTATCAATATCTTAGTTAACAATTATAAATCAAAGCCTGTTGCCACTGTAAAAATAACATAAATACTCTCGGTAATCTAATCACCATCATGCCCTATCAGAGAAGATGTAAAAAGGAAATTTGAGAGAGAGAGAGAGAGAGAGAGAGAGAGTATGACTTTTGACCATCTTTTAATTAGGGGTTGGGAAAATGGCTAACCCTAGCTAGGTCATTATAATATAATATTATTGTATATGATGTGAATGGGAATGGCTAGCTTTTCAAATTTGACCGTGGTAAATTTACTGTGAACTCCCCGTGGCGATGACCGACTGAGCCACGATGAGTGAAGTGAATGATAAACAATAAAATATATATAACCACAGCACAGACATGAAATGAAGTACACATGGCAATCTAATATGCCAATGTATCAACACATGGCTTTCATTTTCATGCACTGGTAGTCGTACTAGTACTCCACATCCACATGTAAATTATGTTCATTGTGTGTAAATTACATGAGATGGTCAAATGCTGCACCTGCCTGTCGGTGCCATACACTATAGTGTGCTCGATTGATGGATTGCATTCTGAATCTCGGAATCTGATGTGGTAGTGATTGATTGGGATCAAGGAAGGTAGCTAGCTAGCTACCATCAGCATCACAGCATGGGTGACATACGTGATACATGATACATGATACATGCATGCATTACTTGACTGGATTTCATGTTCAAAGCAGCATCGAACATGGGCTGGGCCAATATCTGAGTAACAGTGGAGCAAGCTCCTCTCTCTCTCTCTCTCTCTCTCTCTCTCTCTCTCTCTCTCTCCCCCCTTCTCTCTTTTACCAGCCCCAGAGAGAGAGAGAGAAATAGACAGACAGGCTGCTGGTAACAAGCAGGAGAAAATAGCGGAGTGATTTATTGCTAGGTATAGGTAGCTAAATGGAGTGGCAATTTAAGTGGTTAATCATTGTAGCTTCAAAGGAATAATGTTCATATATATATATAGCCTAGGACACGTAAAATAGGGTACAAGATTTTATAGTGGCCAACATTATTATGCCTGGGAGTGACCTGAGACTCTCAGTTCTCACATTCTTATATTTATTATTATTATTATTATCTATATTCTATAGTTTGAAAATACAAGCGTATAATAATAATAATTAAGGTAAACTACAGTAAACTTCCCAACTTACAGGGTCATTAACGAGTTCATACTTGATTTTGGGGACATTTACCAGTATATACTCAGCGTTATGAAAAATTTACAATTTATCCCCTCCGTTAGCGAGATCATTAGAAAATCTGTTAAATGCTGGCGTGTCAAAAGTGGAATTCATTTTTTTATGACGTGGATTAAAAACCAATAAAAAATTATATACTTTTAAAAACAAGTTTAAAAAAATTAAAATCATTAAATTTTAAAAATAAAAAGGAAATTGAAAAAATAAAAAATCTCTCCTCTCCTCCTACCTCCCTACCCAGCGAATCCAAAACTCTCTCCCTCCCAACGAACCCCCACCCCTCAGCCACTCCTCTGCCGTCCCCTCTCCTGTCAACCCAACCACCCCTCCTCAGGCATACAACAGATTGCCCAAACAAACAAACCCAAAAGCTCCACCCCATCCTCAGCCTCTTCTTTGGGGAACCCAGCCCATCCA